GCTCTCTGCCTCCGGCTACTCTCTGCCTCCTGCTGCTCTTTGCCTCCGGCTGCTTTCTGCCACCTGCCAGTGCTCTTGGCCATGCCCACTTCTCTGCCGCAGAGCGGAGTTCCTGACATGCTGCAGGAGGAAGCTTTTCCCACAGCTGTGGGCTGCACACAGGTGCTAAACAATTTAAAATAATTTATTTTAAATATTAACTCCATGCCGATCATGCGGCTCATCCATCAATCAGCAATTGTATGTCATGTCCAATCTTACTTTGAAAAACTGCAATAGAGCGAGTCCGATAAAAGCAAATCGCGAACTAGCGAGGGACTACTGTAATTCTTGTGAATCCCAAATGAGCTGAAGTAACATTTAAAAGAAGAGTGAGCCAAAATTAATCCACTGTAATGAACGACTCATAACTTGTTCAAGTAATAACTGCAATATGTTTCTCTAAGCTGCTGAATGATTGAAGATATACTGTGCTCTGGTTTGGCATTTTAGGCAAATAAATAGTGCTATCAAAAGTTACACATTTTTGTTCACCTGAGATTTCATTCATCCCTGTTGTATGAATAAGTAAAAAAACATAACATGATCTTTTAAAAAGCACCTTGACCATAAAATATTATGTTGAAAACAGACAAAGCTGTGGCCAAATGTCAGTTTGGTTCAATCTTCACTTCTTTGAAATCTCCTTAAACAAGACATCCATGGATTCTGCTTGTTACACTGTGAACCATACAAGAATAATGTGGTTGAGTTTTACATTGTGTTGTAATGTTCTAGTTTCCTCATAAGATTTCCCAGCTCACTGCTTTTAATGTAGCGAGAAGAACTACGTTTTCTTTGGGGAGTTACCGTGGTACACCCAGTCCTCGGATAGAAAACTTCTGTCTTAGGATCATTAATCAGTTACTTCACCCAGTTCCCAGCTGCTTCCAGTTAGAACTGAGATTAGTCCAAAGAGGAGCAACATCATTTCAGCTCAGTGACAGATTTTGAGACAGATTCTGATCGAAGTTGTGAACGTTCCCATCATGTCTGGATGAGTAGTTGTTGGATTTGAAAGCTTTGGAAGTGAGTTTGGAAGACATCATTTACATTCAGTCATTCAAAGATAGATGTTGCATTAACCACAAACCGCTACATTGTCTGCGCTGCACTGTTCCCCTCTGGTGCAGGACAGCCAGCTCCCTGAGATTATACTCCGAGCAGATTTCCCTGAGCTGATGGAAGCCTTAAATCCTCTGGCAACAATTCTTTGGCACTGAAGAATCGGCCTGCAACATCACTTTTTCTTCATTATTGAACAACTTAAGCTTTTTCATCTCACTATTAGCTGAGGATTACTAAACATATTTTTATTTCCCTCTTCCTCAAGTGTTTGAGCTACAGCACTGAAATGAGAAAAACACACGCATGTAGTGCCTCAGTACTACATGCATGCGGCACGGCCCTCCATGCTGTTGATACCAGTTGTAGTTCCAGGATGACTTTAACTTTTATGTGTTGAAATCTGCCGAACAGTGACAAAAAGGAATAAAGCCTTAGTAATTTTCAAGGGAAGTGTTTTCAGATAGTTTTGAAAATGTTTTAAAAATTCCTGCAAATTTGTATTCATTCAACCTTTATCTAAACAGGTAAATCCTGTCTAAATAAAGGTTGAATGAATATATATATGAATGTGTTCAACATGTAAGTCTGCTTCTAAATTCATGGGTTGTATCAAAACTTGCAGCCTACTCTCCTTTAAACCATCTTGATTCATTGCAGACAACAGGTAACTAAGATGTTTAATGTTTTTCTCTTGTCATATTAATTTGATTTTTTAATACGCCAGTCCTGTATTTTATTCTTCAATATATTCCCAAAAACTTGTTAGGGCAAAGATAAGGGACAGTTTGGGGCAGTAATGAGACAATTAAGCAAATAGGATGGACCTTGAGTGGAAACATTTTATTCCATATCTTCTTCTGGAAGAAATAAACACCATGAGCTGCAGACCAAAGAAGAAAAGCAGTTTCAGACTGTTATCAGCAACAAGTCCATAAGCCCGGTTCTGTGATGTATGGGCTTGGACCAGTGGTGTTGCTTAAAGCTCATTTATTCTTCTGTGATGGCAGCATTAATATAAACGAGTCCAGTGGAGACTTTAAAGCAACAAATGACTTCTTCTAAATCACATCTTTTCCAGAGACGGCCATGAATTTTTCATCAGGGCTGTGTGAAACCACCAAGGCATGTTCTGAGGAAGAACAGGTCTGGACTGTACTCAGAGGTAGCGAGCACACACTTCAGTTTAACTACACATCAAGTAAACAGCAGAAAACTTGTCTGAAGAGCAAATTATTTCATATATCTCATATATTCATCAGTTCATATATTCATCAGCTCATATATTCATCAGCTCATATATTCATCAGCTCATATATTCATCAGTTCATATATTCATCAGCTCATATATTCATCAGTTCATATATTCATCAGCTCATATATTCATCAGCTCATATATTCATCAGTTCATATATTCATCAGCTCATATATTCATCAGCTCATAAATTCATCAGCTCATATATTCATCCATCCATCCATCCATCCATCCATCCATCCATCCATCCATTTTCTTCCGCTTATCCGGGGTCGGGTCGCGGGGGTAGCAGCCTAAGTAGGGAGGCCCAGACTTCCCTCTCCCCAGCCACTTGGGCCAGCTCTTCAGGGGGAATCCCGAGGCATTCCCAGGCCAGCCTAGAAACATAGTCCCTCCAGCGTGTCCTGGGTCTTCCCCTGGGCCTCCTTCCGGTGGGACGTGTCCGGAACACCTCACCAGGGAGGCGTCCAGAAGGCATCCTAAACAGATGCCCAAGCCACCTCAACTGGCTCCTCTCGACGTGGAGAAGCAGCGGCTCTACTCCGCATCCCTCCCGGATGATCGAGCTTCTCACCCTGTCTCTAAGGGAGAGCCCAGACACCCTGCGGAGAAAACTCATTTCGGCCGCTTGTATCCGAGATCTCATTCTTTCAGTCACAACCCAAAGCTTGTGACCATAGATGAGGGTGGGAACGTAGATCGATCGGTAAATTGAGAGCTTCGCTTTTTGACTCAGCTCTCTCTTCACCACGACAGACCTGTACAGCGCCCGCTTCACTGCAGACGCTGCACCTATCCGCCTATCGATCTCACGCTCCATTTTTCCCTCATTCGTGAACAAGACTCCAAGATACTTGAACTCCTCCACTTGGGGCAGGACCTCCTCCCTGACCCGGAGAAGGCACTCTACCCTTTTCCAGCTCAAGACCATGGCCTCGGATTTGGAGGAACTGATCTTCATCCCGGCCGCATCGCATTCGGCTGCGAACCGCTCCAGTGAAAGCTGTAGATCACGGTCTGATGAAGCCAATAAGACCACATCATCTGCAAAAAGCAGAGACGCAATCCTAAGGCCACCAAAACGGATCCCCTCAACACCTTGGCTGCGTCTAGAATTTCTGTCCATAAAAGTTATGAACAGAATCGGTGACAAAGGGCAACCTTGGCGGAGTCCAACTCCCACCGGGAACAAACCCGACTTACTGCCGGCGATGCGGACCAGGCTCTGACACCGGTCATACAGGGACCTAACAGCCCGTATCAAAGGGCCCGGTACCCCATACTCCCAGAGTACCCCCCACAGGGCCCCCCGAGGGACGCGGTTGAACTCCTTCTCCAGGTCCACAAAGCACATGTAGACTGGTTGGGCAAACTCCCACGCACCCTCCAGGACCCTGCTGAGAGTGTAGAGCTGGTCCAGTGTTCCACGGCCAGGACGAAAACTGCACTGTTCCTCCTGAATCTGAGGTTCGACTATCCGACGGACCCTCCTCTCCAGAACCCCCGAATAGACCTTACCAGGGAGGCTTAAGAACGTGATTCCCCTGTAGTTGGAACACACTCTACGGTCCCCCTTTTTGAGTAGGGGGACCACCACCCCGGTCTGCCAATCCAGGGGAACTTCCCCCGATGTCCATGCAATATTCCAGAGTCGCATAAGCCAACACAACCCTACAACATCCAGAGCCTTAAGGAACTCTGGGCGAATCTCATCCACCCCTGGGGCTCTGCCACCGAGGAGCTTTTTAACCACCTTGGTGACCTCAGCACCAGAGATTGGAGGGCCCGACCCAGCGTCCCCAGGCTCCGCTTCCTCAGTGGAAGACGTGCCGGTGGGATTGAGGAGGTCTTCAAAGTATTCCGCCCACCGACCCACAACATCCCGAGTTGAGGTCAGCAGCACACCACTCCCACTATAAACAGTGTTGGTGGCGTACCGCTTTCCCCCCCGAGACGCTGGATGGTGGACCAGAATCGTCTCGAAGCCGTGTGGAAGTCGTTCTCCATGGCCTCTCCTAACTCCTCCCATGCCTGAGTTTTTGCCTCAGCAACCACCCGAGCCGTATGTCACTTGGACTGCCGATACCCATCAGCTGCTTCCGGAGTCCCACAGGCTAAAAAGGCCCGATAGGACTCCTTCTTTAGCCTGACAGCATCCCTCACCGACGGTGTCCACCATCGGGTTTGAGGGTTGCCGCCACGACAGACACCGACAACCTTGCGGCCGCAAGATATTCATCAGCTCATATATTCATCAGTTCATATATTCATCAGTTCATATATTCATCAGCTCATAAATTCATCAGCTCATATATTCATCAGTTCATATATTCATCAGCTCATAAATTCATCAGTTCATATATTCATCAGCTCATATATTCATCAGTTCATATATTCATCAGCTCATATATTCATAGCTCATATATTCATCAGCTCATAT